GTCTACAAGAGAGGGAATGGGTGGGGAGGGGAAATCACTAACTAAATAGTAGACAAGTTAACTTTGGTAGAGAGAAAGACAACACATAATCTATGAGAAGACAGCACAACTTGACCAAGACAAAGTCATAGAAGCTTCCTAGACACATCCAGACATCTTGAGGGACTGAATTACTGGGGCTGAGCACTGGACACCCTGGTCTTGGGGGAACAGCTCGGTCAATTGGTATAACATAGTTCATAAAGAAAATGTTCAACGTACAACTTTGGTGAGGAGCACCTGGCATCTTAAAAGCTTGCAAGTGGCCATCTAAGATACATCTATTGGTCCCATTACATTTGGAGCAAAGGAGAATGAAGAAAACCAAAGAAACAAAGAAAATATTAGTCCAGAAGACTAATGGACCACATGAACCACAGCCTTCACCACCCTGTGCCCAGAAGAACTAGATGGTGCCTGGCTTTACCCACCGACAACTCTGACAGGGATCACAGTAGAGGGTCCTGGACAGAGCAGGAGAAAAATGTTGAAAAAAATTCAAATTCACAAAAAAAGATCAGACTTACTGGTCTGACAGAGACTGGAGGAACCCCCAAGACTATGGCCCCCGGACACCCTGCTAACTCAGAACTAAAGCCACTCCTGAAATCCACCTTTTAGCCAAAGGTTAGACAGGCCTGTAAAAGACAATAACATACATGAGGAATGTGCTTCTTATTCTTAGTTCAATCAAATATGTGAGACCAAATGGGCAACACCTGCCCAAAAGCAAAGATGAGAAGGCAGAAAGGGACAGGAAAACTGGACGAATGGACACAGGGAACCCAGAGTATAAACAGAAAGGGTAGAGTGCTGACACATTGTGGGTATTGCAACCAATATCACAAAACAATTTGTATAAATGTTTTAATGAGAAACTAATTTGCTCTGTAAACCTTCACCTAAAGCAGAATAAAATTTAAAGAAAAAGTAATTTGGTAAAGTTAAAAAACAATTGTGCATATGTGCATTTTTCCATAGAGTTGGTAAAGCTTTCATCAGATCTTCAAATGGGTTGATAGCTTAGAAATCATTAATCTATGTAGTCCATTAGAATTGATTGTATAATAGGTCCAATTACTATTCTTTTGAATCTTCAATACTAAGAAGCAATATCATTAAAAAAAAATTTTTGCACTGTAAATTTTCATCTCACGCACAATAAAATAAAAATAGAAGATGGAAGGAATGAGTTGCTATGAGTCAGAATTGACTTGATGACAACGAGTATACCAAAAAGAATTGGTCGACATTAAGCCATTTCAGGAGGTAGCATGTGATCAAGAACTGATGGTACTGAATGAAGGCATACAAACTGCATTGAAGGCATTGGCAAAAAACAAGGCTCCAGGAATTGAGATAATACCATGTGAGATGTTTTAACTAACAGATGCAATGCTGGGAGCACACGCTTGTCTGTGCCAAGAAATTAGGAATACAACTGGACAACCAACTGGAAGAGATCCATGTTCATGCCCATTCCAAAGAAAGGTGATCTAACAGAATGCAGAAATTATCCAACACTATCAATATCACACACAAGTAAAATTTTGCTGAAGATTGTTCAGAAACAGCTGCAGCGATACATTGACAGGGAACTGCCAGAAATTCAGGCCAGATTCAGAAGAGGACGTGGAACAAGGGATATCATTGCTGATGTCAAATGGATCTTGGCTGAAAGCAGAGTATACCAAAAAGATGTTTACCTTTGCTTTATTGACTTGTAAAGGCATTCGACTCTATGGATCATTACAAATTATGGATAATATTACAAAGAATGGGAATTCCAGAACACAGCTATGCTCGTGAAGAACCTGTACATAGTATAAGAGGCAGTCATTCAAAGAGAGCAAAGGGATACTGTGTGGTTTAAAATCAGGAAAGGTGTGCTTTAAGGGTGTATCCTTTCACTATACTTATTCAGTCTGTATACTGAGCAAATTTCAGAGAAGCTGGACTATATGAAGATGAATGTGGCATCAGGACTGGAGGAAGGCTCATTAACAACCTGCAGTATGCTTGCTAAAAGTGAAGAGGACTTGAAGCACTTACTGATGAAGATCACAAAGACTACAGCCTTCAGTATGGATTACACTTCAACATAAAGAGAACAAAAATCTTCACAACTGGACCAATAAGCAACATCATGATAAACGGAGAAAAGATTGAAGTTATCAAGGATTTCATTTTACTTGGATCCACAATCAA